AAACCCCTGGGCTGTGCCTGCCCGGGTGTTTCCACCTCCGCGTCCTGGTTCTCCACAGCCATTGCGATCACCGAGCAGCCGGTCTCCATCTCCGTCCCAGTGGGATACTCCTTCACCCTGCGGTGCAGAGCCAAGGGACGCACTTCGTTGCAGTACCAGTGGTTTTGTCAGCACCAGGTAACGGTGGGAGCAGAGGTGGCCTTGGGTACGGCGCCAGGCTGGGTCCCTGCCCGCAGCGACGGGGCCGGCCCTGTGTGGGCAGAGCTGGTGAGAACCAGGAGGCTGGGAGAGGGGGATAGGGTGTGTGTGCATGCTGAGGGCCTCTGCGGATGCTGGGAGGGGGCGTGCAGTGGAAAACTTCCTTCTGCATCCCTGTGGCTGGAGGAGGGGAGGAAACGAGGGATTTCCACTTTTCCTGCTCTTGTGGGGGCCTGCTGGTACCTTCTGCTACCAGCAATGAGGGGGGACTCACTGCTCAGCACCTGTGTTTTCCCTGTAGTCCGTCTGCCGCCAAATTCCTGGTGCCACCAAGCAAGACTTGCCTGTCACTGCACAGCAGACCCAACTCTACATCTGCAGAATCAATGACCTCTACAAAAATGCCATCTTCTCCGACTGGGTGAAGGTAGAGGTCCATCAGTGTGTCGCTAGAGGTATGAATGTGTCTTGTACCCTTTCTATAATTTGTGCTTTGCCCATGCTTGCAACAGTGATCCTGCGCAGTTCCCGGGGCAGCATGTCATCTCAGCTTGAAAATCACAATACAGAAGGATTGCTTCACCAACATGAGCCTACGTGTCTAAGCCAGCCTCTGCGTCCAGCCTCTGGATGGTTCAGGTCCCTGTCATGGTCCCAATAACTCCGTCTGTATGTACCTGCTCCTCCTGCTGATCACTCGCCGTGGGTTTCCCAGAGATATACTGGGTGTTTACCTGTTTGTGTTGGGCAGAGGGGCTGGAAGAGGCAATCTGGCTCTCTCAAAGCTGAGCAAAAATAACTCTGGGTGTGGTTGACCTCAGCGTGATGACTACGCCCTGGGCAGGAAAGGGCGACTGTCAGGTTTGGGAAGCCAGAGGCAGGGTTTTGGTGTGCCATTTACTATTGCGGGTGTCGCTCTCAAGGATTCCCTGCTCCCAAAGCAGAAAGGTGCAACAGTGACGCCACAACCGCAGCCATCCTGTGGGACAGCATTTGTTGGTGCGGGTGGAAAAAGCTCGGTTCTCTGGCAGTATGCACAAGGTCTTATACAGGGGCAAAAATGACTGTTGCGGAGGAAGGACTGATTCTGTGTCTGTCCTTTGCAGGACTGCCCCCTCAGCGCTGGAGAGGAGAACCGGTCATCGTCGTCAACCCCACCGAGCAGAGGGTGGAGGTGGGGAAGCCACTACAGCTGCAGTGTGCTGCCATGGGAGTCCCAGCCCCCAGCTACCAGTGGTACCGGAATGGGAACCTGCTGGAACACCAGAGCAAAAAAAAACTCTGGGTAAAGTTGCCTTGGGATAGTTCAGAAACTTGGGCTGCTGAGTTGGGTGATGGGAGAAGCTTGCTGCTGGATGGAGCCTCAGAAGCCTTGGAGAGACCGCTGAAAATTGTGTTATTGTCATCCTGGGCGTGAGAGGTGGCAGTTCTTAACCCTGGCTCATATCTGCATGTCGGGGCTCAGGCATGCTTCGATCTGTGTGATCAGGTGAATGCCAGCAGAAAGCAGTCTCTCCTTGCCTGTCCTCCCTGTCTCTCCAGCCCTTGAGAAGCAGCCTCGTGCTCAGCTGTCTTTCCCTGCCACGTCACAGGGTTGTGAGAAATCACTCCACGTATCACGCCTGTTGCTTTGATAGCTGACTGAAGAGCTCTGGGTGAAGAGGGAGTAAGTTTTATGGGCTTTTTTCAAAGCTGTGGATGTTTCTCTAAGAAGTAACTGATTCACAGATGTGTCAAGGGCTCTCAGCACGTCTTGTGCTTTTTTGCAGCAGTGGCACAAGAACAGCTATTGTATGTCTGTGCAGGCGACTGCGGAGTGATGGAGCTGCGGGAGTGCTGTCTGCTTGCAGGAGAACTAGAAGGAAAAGTGGTTAGTCCTGACAGAAAAGAGCCAGGGAGACAGCAAAAGGCCTGAGTTTATTTTAGGTCACTGGCAGAACGTAAATCAGCGCTGTCTTCTTGATGCATGAAAGGCAGATTTCCTTCTGGGACATCACGTGAAGGGTATCGAAGACAAGAGCTGCAATCTCTTCCTGGTAGTGGTAGATGGTATAACAGGGGACAGTGGCCTTAGATGTGCACTTTTCACAGGGAAGTTCAGGCTGGGGTTTAGGAAGCGGTTCTTCGTTTGGAGGTGGGTGGTGCTGCACTGGAGCCAGTAAGGCAGTCCTCCCAGTGTGGCTCCTGGGGCAGAGTATGGCAGTGACACAGGGTTTGGGGGCTGCTAGAAAAAGAAGGGAAGGCATTTGGACAGGGGATTTTTGCGCTCTAGAAGCTGGGGTCAGCAGCACACCTTAGCGCATGGCGTTACTGAGCTTCTTAGAAGGACAAAAGTCATAGGAAATCTTGGCTTTGGGAGGCAAGAAATGAGATCTCAGCGAACAGCAAGAGAAAAGACTTTTTATTCCAGGAACATGGGTGCCTTTGGTAGCTACCGGCAGGGAGCCACAAACTTTCACCATTAATAACATGATTTAACTTTTGATCTGTCTAGATCAGCCACGCAAAGGCCAGTGACTCCGGCACGTACCTCTGCTGTGCCTCCAATAGCCATGGAGAGCACTGGACCAACGCCGTGGATATTCACATAGGTGAGCAGAGCCAACCCACGTCTGCTTTGCTGCAAGTCACGTTCTAGTGTGAAAAGTAATTACAGAGCAGACAGGAATTTAGTGCTGTCTCCTGGAAGCGCCGGGCTGGTGAACAAGGAGCCCGGTGCTGGCAGGTTACCTTGGGGCTCAGTTGGTGCGGGGGAAGCTGGGCTCCAGGGCATGGATTAGGAGAAGTGGGATGTGTGGCTCTGACGCTTGCACCTTCCCCGAGCTTGGGCAGATCTTGCACACTTTTGTTAACAAAAAGAAAGGCCACTGGTTTTACATACTACTTCTGCAGGGAGCCAAAGGTAAGATGCTTCGGAGTAGAAGAGCAGCATGGGGCTCTGCAGGGAAGCTGAGGTGTCCTGGCAGTCCTGCGGCGAGTGTCACGGAAGGGCCTGCCGAGCACAGCTTCAAAAAAAAAAGCTGGGGTGCCCGGGCGGCCCTGCGGCGGCTGTCACGGAAGGGCCTGCCGAGCGCAGCTTCACACCCTGGGTATACTGGATACAGTGATCTCAGCAGAGCTGCGCAAGCCCTGCTGAGCAGTGGGCACAGGCACCCGTCAGCCCCGTGACAAACAGGATTCCTTTGATAACGGAGTTCAGAGGTAGCAAGGGAAGCAGCGTCTGTAAAAGAAAAAACCCCAAACCTGGTGATCCGCTGCTGCGGTGTGGGATGCTGCTGGATCCTGCAGTCTGGCAGAAACCTGCCACGTTAGGGCAGGTTGAGTGCTCTCAGTTGCTTGCTGCGGTTTTCTTGCCTTGCCAGGGTGCTGGTTTAATAGCTCCCTGGCCAAATCGCAGCGGAGTCCTTTGGTAAAATTCTTCTACAGCCTTGCTGAGGTGCAGCGATGTGCTCAGACACATAGAGCTGGAGAGGATGGTGTTTATTTTGGGAAGGTTCAGGCCCCTTGGGCTAGCAGCCCAGGCCTGATGGTCCGTGAGCTGACAGATCCTAGGGAGAAGATGGGTCCTCAGAGCCTCAGGCATGCTCCACCTTCTGTGTTACTGCCGTTTTTGGCCCTCTGCCTTTGCCCTGCTGTGAGACAGGAGTAGCACAGGCTAGCTCTGCTGTCTCTTTACTCCATCTAGAGATTTTTCTATGCCATAAACTTCTTGTCTCTCCTTTTAAGGTGGCTTTAAAATTGTTCCAGAGTGCAGATTGTTCCTGTATAGCGAGAGAGCACTCTCCCTGCCTCCTTGCTGCTGGCAAAACAGCATCCACAGGCGGGGACTGGCAGTGAGAAAGGGGCACAGGATTAGGCTGGGCTCAAAATGTTATGACTGAGTAGCTTTAACGTGCAATAGGCAGCTCTGTCAGAGTCAGAAAAGGATGAATGGGCTTGTTCTGATGGCTTTCCAGGCATCCCTGGAGCATTAGCAGCCCTGGTTCAGGTGCTAAAGGTCTTCCAGACCCGTGAGATTTATGCAATTAAAAATATGCCCTTAATTTCTTCTGTTAGAGGCTGTAAGGCTTCAGGGTTTTCTCCTGAGCTGGATTTTTTAAAATTAATTTAAATAGGAACAACTGGAGCTGTTAGGGTAATGAAGATCTTAAGAGGCAGGGAGCGCTCGGGCAAGGGAGCTTGTGGAGCCCGTGAAAGTGAGACACATTTGTGGAGACTTTTCTGAGCCGGAACTGCTAAAAGGCAGGGAAAGGCAAAGGAGGGTGGTGAAAGGCTCAGGGAATATTATCACAATCAAAAGCAAGCAGTTTGCTTCCTCTGCACTGACCGCTCATGGAGAGAAGCTCTCTGTTTTGAAGCTTGTGTTGACCTTGAGTTGTTGTGTTTCTTTTGCTTTCGCTGCAGCGAGGGCGCAGGCAAGTCATTTCGGGAAATGCAGCAGCCAGGCAGCGCAGACCTGCTGATGGGTATGAGCTCCTCCGTGCTGGCCCTCCTTCCCCAGGCCTGCCCCTTCTCCAGGCTTTGCTTCCCAGCCGCTCAGGATTTCATAAATCAGGGAGGGTTTCATAAATCCTCCCCAAATCACCAGACCAGTGTCTTTAAGGTTAGCAATCAGGCTATGAAGAACTTGCCTGAGGAATGTTGCTTGTGCTCCATGGTGTTTGATCCAGCTTTGCGTTGCTGGGGAATGTTGGAGCAGGTTTCAGCTGGCACTAGGGCACTGGTGTTGGGCACAGGCTTATCATTTCCCTCTTTCTTTTCCAGGTACATGCCACTCTGAAAAGTTTTTTGGTGAGTGTTGTCATCTTTTCTTCCTGAGCAATCATTTCCTTAATTAAAAGCCAGGCTCCAGGGTGAATGGGAGGACAGGACATAGGAGTGCTATTCCTGCAGAGACTGCTTCAAGCCTTTATGCCCACATTGTCACAGGCTCTGCACTTTTGGGATCAGAGCTGCAAGGCACAGGATGAGTCCCATCCCCTGCCAAGACCTGATCAGTCTCAGCAAGTGGAGTAAGATTATTCCTAATGAGTAACCCGGTCTTGACCTCTGTGCCCACCAAGTGAGTTTAAAAATGGTGTTCACGTGACACCTTTTCCCTTCCTTGAAATACCTCCTTGGAACATAGCAAACCTCCTTACTCCCACCACTGCCGAGTGCCATAAATCTGGTTTTCCTACGATGGAAGGTGGGGATAAAATGAAAGCAGGAGTCCAGGATTTCTTTCCTTCAGCCCCGTGGGGAAAAGGACTTCTTAGTCTGGCTCAGTGCATTCCCCTCCCAGGCACTGCTGGCACACGAGACCTGTGGTCACGGTAGGGCAGGTGCTGAATAACCTCGGTAGTGCAGATCCTCCTGCACTCCTGGGATTTTGGTTGTCAAGTGAAAACTTTCGAAGTCTTTCTTTCAAAATGATGGTTTGTGTTTTTTGTCAAAGTGTGCAGAAAGCCAAAACTCTTTCTGGAGAGCACTCCAGGGCTGTAGCAGTGTAGAGTCTCTCCTTCCTGTCTGGATGTAAGAAAAGATTCCCGGTATCCTTGCTCTACTGAAGGAGGTGAGACCTTGCCTCCTGCTGAGCACTTACAGCTTTGTCACTTGGTGTTTCTGTTAGCTACAGGCAAGATAGCGCTTTTGGTAGGCAACAACCGCTACCAGCATCATCCCAACCTGATGGCTCCTGTCACGGATGTGTTTGAGCTGAGTCTGCTTCTGGAGCAGCTGGGCTTCCAGGTTGTCTCCCTTCTGGACCTGAACAAGGCTGAGATGGTGACAGCTGTCAGTCGGTTCCTGCAGCTCCTGGGGAAGGGAGTCTATGGTAAGACAAAGCCAGTAAGGTAAAGTAGCTGATGCTTGGGTAGCAGCAGTCGATGCCAGGGTGGAGCAGGGATTTGGCAATTTTCCTAACAGCTGTTGAATTAAAAAGGAAGAAATTGAACTTTCCTTGGCGGGGGTGGGGGGGGTGTGTGTCAGAGAAGCCCTGTGGCACAGTCTGCAGTGGTGCCAGGCTTGGCAGAAGCCTCCAGGTAAATGCTGTTCAGTTTTGGTGAGGGTACAGACGGGCAAAGTAGGTGTGTCTCCATCACATGGCTCATCTGCAACTCCAACAACATGATCTCATGCTGAGGTTTTGGGGACCCAGCACTTCTGACGGCAAATGAGAGAAGGTCATTCCATTTTTCCTTATATGAAAAATTGAGGACATTGGCTATCAATTGTCCCTACCATGCTCCTTTGTGAGGTGAGGTGCTCCTTTTGAGCTATGACTGCTACAGCTGGCCACAATTTCCTTATTTCTCTTTCCTGATGGTCTAATTTGAGCCTCTGACAGCCTTTTTGCAGAAGTGCATTCCCAGCTGCAGATGGCTTTGAGGTTGGGCTTTGAGCTTATCGCACGCTGTCCTCAGCCGGAAGCATCCTTCAAACACAAAACCAACTGGCAGATCTTGTGGGTCTTAAAGCAGATGTTCAAATTTTGTGGTGAAAGTAGCTTCTTTGGGGTTTCTGAGGTTCTCCCAGCTTGATGGATACCTGGAAAACACCTGGCAGATGTTTATTTTGCTTCTGAACCTTAGCATGAGGCTTATCTTCACCGCCCTCCCAGCTGCATGGCATACCTGGGCACTCAGTGAAAGTCAACACAAGCCAATTTCAGGGCAGCACTCAGTGTGAGGTTTGGAGGTTGTGCAACGGATGGGGACATGGCCACAAATGAAATGCTGCAAAGCCAGCTCATTCCGGGAAGCACTGACTCACTCAGGGAGGCTGAGCTGCCGGGGAAGGGCGGTACATGGTCGTCGCCACACTGGCCGAGCTCGTCATCTGTTGACAGTATATGCCTATGACTTCACTTGCAGCTTCCTTTTGTGGTTGCTCTCTGAAATGCCCTTGCATCTCAGGCTTTACCTCCTTTCCCAGGCCAGAGTCATACCTGGGGGACTGCTATGCTTTGCCCGTGGTGCTGCAGTTCCTAGTCTCTATCCATAGCGCGTGAGGACCATATGGCATTTTGTCCATGGCGCTTCCCTTGTTTTCACAAGCATTGGAGAGAAAAAAGTTTTGGAAACGGCAAACCTTTCATGCTCTCATGCCTTATTTAAACTTCTAGTGCTTTTCTGCATTCGTGGCCACTGAGCCTTCCTGGCAAAATTGATTTTGTGCACTGGCAGGGAAAACATTAACAGCCGAGTTACTGAACCTTGATAAGCCTCAGGTGTTTGCTAGGCATAGCCTGCTTCGGATGGTGGTTTTGTTTACAGCTTTCTAAGCTGATGGCCTACTATTATTTGGAGGCAGTGAACCTCAGCACAGGCTGGTCCCAGCAGCATGATTGAGTTGAGGACTCTTGCCATAATTGGGGCATTGGGTCAGTCTGCCTGCTGATTGCTTCAGGGTTTCTCTGTCTGCAGTGTGCTGCCTCTCACTGTGGTGCATCTTCCAGCATTTCTTTAGCTGTTTTCCTTACATAAAATTAGAAGAACTAGGTAAAGTGCAAATCGTTTAAATTATCTTCTCTTGTTAATAAAAACACGCATTTAGAAGAAGCTAACTCCTCCTAAACCCTATGTGTCAATTTTTCAATGCACTAGCTCCAGGATAAACATCTAGAACCGTCTAAGAGGTTTAGGATTCACGCAATTCATGTGCATGGGAAGACAATGGTGAGACAGCAGCTCCAGGAACAACCTAGGCAGCCTATTAAAACTACAGAGACCCCAGGGGTGCCTGTGATAGCTGGTCTTGTACATTCACATGAATGTCTCAGACATGCACCTTCACATGCAACCTGGTGCTTCCACCTGGTTTTTCTTGCTCTAGGAACCTGGAGGTGCCATCTCCTGTGTAGCAACCACCACAGCTGAAGTCAGAGCCTTGCGTAGATGTATCGAGCAAAACAGGGAGCTGGGAGGAGAGGGCTGACTGGTGAAAGACTGTCACTGGACGGAAGTGGGAGGCTGGTGTAACACAGGCACACCTGTCAGCACGCCCAAGAAGTGAGGCTGGCTGTCTTCTGAAGTTTAGCTCCAGTGGCAGAGCTGCTGGGGCATTCATGCATCTTTCTGCTGGTGCAGATCAGAAGAGAGAACATAGCCATGTGTGTTGGTGTTGGAGCACAGTGCTTGTTGCCTCTAGAGTTTTATGTGCCTTCAGGATGCTGATGAGAGCTGAAGAAGATATGTCTGACCTCCCTAGACCTCTTTTATTGTGGGGCTATCTGGATGGCTGGCCCTACCTTGTGTGTCCTTACTTACCTGTCTGTGATTTACACTCCTATAGGAGTTGGTGGGAAGGGACTTTGGAGTCATCAATGCAAGGTCGGGGCTGGTTGTGGCTCTCCTTATCAGGTCTTGAAGACTTCCAGGCATGGAGCCCACACTTCTTCACCTGCCCATCCCAGGGCTGCACCACCCTCCAGGGAAGTCTTTCCTCCTGTCAGGCATGACGCTCTGTGGGTTGGTGCTCATTGTCCTATGTTGTTATGGTCCACAGCAACAAGGAGAGCTGGGCTTTGTTGTCTCTGTAACTGTCCCTCCAGGAACTGCAGGCTGTTGTTAGACCTCCCTTTACCTCCATGTCTCCAGATCATCATGGCCCAGTTCCTTCCCCTTCTCTTCCCAGGCCCTGGGCGCTAGCATCTTGGTAGTCTCTGTTTTTTCCAGTGTCTCCACCTTTCTCTTGGACTGAGGTCCCTAAAACTGGACACAGGATCTAAGTGGGGTCTGTTTGGGCCCAAAGAGAGTGGTGACAGCTTCCCTGGTGACCCTACATCTCCTAGCATAGCTCTGTCCCCAGTCAATGCTAGCTCATCTTCAGCATGGTGTCTGCTGTGACCCTAGACTTGCTGGTCAACCAGTGCTCAGCCCCAGCCAAAATGCTGCCTGGGTCTACTTGCCCCTATGCAGGATGTTGTCCTTCTTATTACTGAAGCTTCTCTGAGATTTCTCAAGCTCAGAGCAAAAACTGGCTTTGTTTTTGGGCACAGGGATATTGTATGGCTGCACGTTTGAGGTGATCCAAAGGCTTCTCTAATTCACCATATGGAGGTGGTGGCTCATCTGGCTGCTTTTCCTCCAGATCTCCTCTTAGAAAAGCTGCAGAGGATATTTGAAGGCCCCAAACATCCCCTGAATGGTCTAATTATGCAACCCTCAGGCGAACGAGGAATCCCCCCCGGATGTTATTTCTAGTGTCCTGAAAAGTCCTGAGTCAAAAAAAACAACGTCAGAAATGCAACAAGAGCAGAAAGTTGCAAGTGAAATACTAGGAATATGCCGTCATGCCTTAATTAAGTTGCATGCTGACATTTCCTGTGTTATAAGCAGTGCCTGGAGCTTCCCCTTTTTAATTTGGTACTCGGAAGCTTGTCTCTGATCAGCAGTTTTGACTCACGAGATGTGGGAAGAGTGTTGAAATGTTAGCTCAGAATAAAAAAAACCCTTTCCTTTTCTAGGCAAATTGTTGACTTTTCTGTTCAGGAGGAGAGATTAAGTCCAGGAGAGGTCTGCAAAGTTGCTCAGTTGATGTGAAACTCATGTCTTTTTTGATTTGAATGTGAGTCTGTGGTTTATATAGCATGGGGAGCTCTTGGCGGTGCATTCAGGGTGCACAACAAGACCTCAGAAGTTAGAAGATTTAATGATTGAAGGATTCTTTGAGGGCTTTTCTGTAACATTTCATTTTTTTCCAAGTGTCAGTGGTGCTGCCTGGTAATGGTTGTCATCACCTCCCTTTTATGTACAGGAGGAAAGGCAGAGGGACGAAAGCCATCAGTGCTCGATGACTTGAGGGGCCAAACCTGAAGTGCCTGCATCTGATTTTTACAGAAGGCTTCCTGTTTTATACTCTTTTATAGTCTCAGGGAAGGTTTTTGTGGGTTGGATTTGCAAATTCTGAAAGTTTAGAACTTCTGCAAATCAGAGCCCACTGTCTCTGGCTGGCGATCCACAAGAAGAGGAACCCAAACTTTATGGGCACCTGTGAAAACAGCCATTTGAGTAACTTTCCATTGTCCCCTGAGAGTAAAAACCAAAGGTGACTCGAGGTGTTTCTTACTATGAGATCATGCTTTCCATCCTCCATACAATGAGATCATGCTTTCAGTCCTTCGGCTCCTGCCCCGTTCACTGCATCCCTTGCAGCGTCAGAGATCAAAGCGAGTGTCCTGCAAACTACAGGGGCAGGAACAGTGGAGGGAAAACAGAGGAGAGGTTACTCATTGCAGTGTGGGCTTTGGCAGCACATCTGACTGAAGAATTGCTCCTGCTTTTGCCTCTCAGCCACTTGTTCCCACTTCTGACCTCTGTTCTTTACTGTCCCTCAACTGCGGTAGTGCAACTGTTTGCGTCGCCTCACAGAGCTATTTTTAACCCATTTCAGTTCCCCGAGTTGGCTTCCACCAGCATCCCCCAAGCAGTTGCGTTGGTGCTGGGAAGGGGTAGCCAGCTGCTGTGCAGCTTCCTTTCAGGAAGCTACAGCCCATGTGGGAATCACTGTGCAGAAGGAAAACCCTTCACCGAACACAGGGATTGGAGAGAAGCACCAGCTTAGGCCATGCCAAGCTCCTCAGAGCTGGCTTTCCAAGCTGGGTGTCCCTGTGTTACCATCTCTTGTGAAGGCAGAAACCATTACTCAGTTTCATGTGCTGAAGAGTATAACTCGGAACCAAAATTCTTCTTGGGTCTTGGACTTCCCACCAGCACCTGGATGAGTCTGACTCCTCTGCCGCCTGACAGGGCTGGTATCTGGTCTGAGGTTGTTGAAGCATGAGGTCCATGTGTTCTGGACATCTGGAGAACTCATCTCTCTGTCTCCATCTCATTTTTTACCAGCTTATACATGTGTAAATACAGGCAGACCTTTGAAAGCTGGAGAGTGTTTCCCATCACCTAATCCATTGCTAGTCTCTCCAAAACTAGGAAGCTGAGGACCTTCTCATTTAAAAGGCCGTTAATATATTTTTCATCATAGTAAAATACTTCATCTGTTGTCATATTCTTGCAAAGGGCTGTACAAAGGTGGTACTCAGCCTGACAGATGCCAGGCTTGGGTGTTGGAGCACAGATGCTTATGGAAACATGTAAACCCAGTGACTTTGGGTCTCCTGACAAGCAGTGCTGGAAACCACAAGTACAGGAGATCCTCTCAGGGCTACTTCCAATTGTGCTGAAGTGAATGGACTGAAAAAGAGTAGAAATTGTGAGATCAGTGTAGGTCCAGTTTCATAGGTGCTACTGGTCTAGGTCTACCCTGCACCGGTATCGCTTCAGGACAGGAGGTGGGGAGCTGGTTACAGACCTGCAGGTTCGTATCGTGACTCATCCTCTCCTCTCCCTGTTCCCAGCTATATTCTACTATGCTGGTCATGGATATGAACATTCGGGGAGGAACTACATGGTCCCTGTTGATGCTCCACAACCCTATGCCGCTGAGAACTGCATCAGCGTGCAGAGGATCCTCCAGAAGATGCAGCAGCAGCAGACGGCCCTGAACCTCATCCTGCTGGACACCTGCAGGAAATGGTAGAGTGCTCTTCCCCTTCCTCTCCCGGGATGGGCAGCGCACGGCATTTCAAGGGATTGGGGGAAACAGCTGCCAGCCTCGGCCCCTGCTTCAGCAGTGGGCTTCTACACAACCCCGTGGTGTGTTCCTGTGGATTCCTGGGGCCACGTCCCGCATTGTGCTGCTGAGCCCAGGCCTCTGTCAAAGTTTATCAGGCTGTGTCATCAAATCAGCAAGACTCCTGGGAAGCCCAGTCAGTCACTTATTAGTTGCAAAGAGCATCAGATGCTGCCTGAGATCTGCTGGAGAGAAGAGGCTGGAGACCCTCCCTTGATTTTTTGGGGTGAAGAAGCCTGACAAATATAGGCAAGCCACCTAAAGCCTGCAGAGGGCTGGCTCTGCCCTGGCATAGATTGTTTCCTGAAACTCAGTGTGAGGTTTGTCTTTCTGTGTTTCAACCCCCTGCTCCGAACCACCCAGCCCTGGCAGGCTGTAGCAGCATCTCACTGACCTCAGGCTTTCGTGGTACGTGTTTCCCCACATGCTCGGGCTGGGACTGCTTAGCTCTCCTCTCTTCTCCTGGCTGCGTTTTTGTTAACGTCTCAGTGAGAAGAGTGTATCATGATGGGAAAAATATTTTAAGCTGTGCTGCTTGGTTTTTACTGGCCTGAAATGCTTCTGAAGTGGTTATGTCATGAAGTGGGACCCAGCCTGCTGCTGAGGTCAGGGATCATCTTTTTCCCTCTGTCTGTGAAAAGCCCATCATCCTCCCTTGACCTGCAGATCTCCATCCTGCAGCTTGTGGGCTGCAGAAAATTACTACTTGCCAATTTTCAGCAGAGGTAGGTAGACTATTCCAGTAGGAGCTGTCATTAGTTCATTTATTTTGGTTTCCTGAGGCAGATTTACAGGTCAGAAAAGGACTGGAGGGCAAATGCAGAAAAGTCTCCCTCTTCCTTCTGTGGTTCCTGCACTGAGAACCAGAAGGATGACAGGGATTTTGATACCGCTGCCCTGAAGGAGCTGCCAGACCCTGGAAAGACGTTAGATCTTTGATGCCTTTTAGCTGCAGAGGTGGGAATGCTCATTTCAAATAGCTTGCACGCTGCCTGTGCTGGGACTTAACCTGCTGCCACAGCTCTGAGTTGCCAGCATCGCTGGAGCTTGCTGTTCCTTGATACCTGCCCTGAAGGCCCCGTAGCATAGCATCCTCTTCCTCCCTCTCGGTCACTGCTGCCACTGAAAGTGGAGCAGGTTGTTTCCCTGCACTGGTGAAGAACATCGCCAGCACACGCAGCAGCACCTTGCTGCTCTCCCCAGCATAATACCAGGCAGGGGACGGCTTGCAGCCAACCGGGAGCATGTGGGTTTTGCGGATGCACGGGTGGAGGTGGGCTAGCATGCCTCTGGGCTGCTGGTAGCCTGTCCGAGGGCAGTGTGGCAACGTGGAGGCTACATGGGGATTGCTGACACAAATGGCGATGATCTATGAAATAGGTTTTGAGCTGATGTCTGCTTTCTTGGCATCGCCAGCGGTTTCTGTGCTTAGCAGAGTCAGAACGGCGCTTTGGGTAAAGGATGCGATGTTAGATCTGCTGTGATGTTTAGGCATGGTTGTGCAGCTCTTTTTCTCTCTACCACGCCAAGACCTCACACCTCTTTTGTCCTCTTTCCCACAGCAAGCACAGCACTTGGTGCAGTAAGTGTTATCCCCAGGCTTGCAGGGGATTGCTGTAGAAGCTCTCTCATGAGCTCGTTCTTCTTGAGAAATCACCAGTTCAGCTCAGCAAAGAGTTTGGATTTCATAGTTGCATGTGTTTACATTGCTCCTTAAAACAGGGCTCCTGGGGCCTCCTTTCCCAACGCCCTTTTGGCTGAACTGATGCTGCGAGTCTTTTGACAATTCACTCAGCCATGCATGAACCAGGAGGAGCTGTGTCTGTGCTAAGAGGGATCTCACCCAGAGTATCTCTTCACCCTGTATGTCAGCATCAGAAATGCCAAGGCGATGAGAAACACATCCTCCTTTGTCAAGCGGTAGCAGATGTTCAGCTTCAGCAGAGGAGGAACCAGGAACTAGGAGCCTGTGTGTAGCCTCGTACGTTTATGTGCTGATTTTGGGTGGATGCGATTGCCTCTTCCAGGAATTCCCTAATTTATGAGGGTTTCTGACATGTGCCACTTAGGACAGAAGACATCTCCTATCTGGGATGCAGATCAGAACTGGGTTGCATGAGATGTGCTGTAGAAATGAGACTGTTTTGGGGCCTGAAGCAGGAGGAAGTGCTGCCACCTTCTCTGCTGTCAGGTCTCTCCGTTTGTTCGGTCACCATCTGGAAATGCCCCTGGAAATTCAAGCCCCCTCCTGAAGCTTGTCTTCTGCTGGGGCAGGGGACCACAGCCAGTGTTTCCGCTGTGTGCAGCTCTAGCCTTGCCGGAACTGTGGATGCCTGCTGGTGGCTTCACGAAAGGTTTGCATCAGCTCACGTCTGTGCAGCCTCGGGTGAATGTCCGCAGCAGGGGGACAACAGGACCCCAGTTTATTTTGGGATCCCATGTCTCGTTTCTCCTCAGACGCTGAATCCCAGATTTCTGCACCATTTAGGAGTAGCTGAGGGGCAGATAAATCTCTCTGTTCACTGTTCATATTTAGAAGCGTATCTCCTTTTCCACATTTTCTCTTCTGATCATCTTTAGAAAACTTACACAAGCCAGAGGGATACTGCCATTAACCATCTCCAGACTGCACCACCAGCAGTAGGTAATGTGCTGGCTGCTGGCGATACAACCATCCCTTCTGCTCTCCTGAGCATGCCAGTTTCAGCCCCAGGAAACTGTTCTGGAATTGAATATCACCGAGTAACGCCACCTCTGTGCCTGGCTCTTATCCCTGTGCGATTTGGAACAGCTCCAAGTCACTGGTGTAAACTGGAGGCAGCCAGTCCCCACGCTATTCAGACTGGCTGCAGTCAGATGGGCAAGGCTTGGCCATTAAGTGCAACCATGATATCTTTTTCGGTGGAAACCAGGGCTGTCACCCTGGATCTACCCGATCTTGAAAATAATAGGGTCTGTGCTGATTGAGCTGGTCCCGCGGTGCCGGGACCGGTTTTGGGCTTTGAGACCTGGGTACGTGTCCTGATCCCATCTCTCGGTGAGATCTGGAGGTGTATCAGCCATAGCATGCTTTGGTGTCCTGGGGCAGAAGGTGTGTTCGTGGGCTGAAAGGCAGCTGTGGGGCACCCCAGGCCCCTGGGATGGACGGCTGAGCCATAGCCTTGTGAAGTGCACACCTTTGAGTTCTTTAGGGACAGTCATCCCTTGTGCCACAGTGAGCCCGTATGAGCTCTGCACTGTGCTGCTGCCTGGATTTGTGACAAACCAGCCCCAGGAGGGAGGAGGCATGGTCACACCCACAGCTCCAGGCTCGCTTGCAGGGTAGGGAGCAGCTCACCAGTGCAGATAGGTCGAAGCTGGCCCTATCTACTCATTTTCCAATGGTTTGAGTTCTTTGTAGGACTCCTTAGCTTCAGCCTCTGTTGCTACCCAGGTAACATGGGTGTTTATATTTGATGTGAGGGTTGATCTTATTGCCATCCGTAGGAGATGGACTTGGTGCAGCACAGGGGCTCTGTACCCTCCAAGCACACACTGGCGGGTGTCCTCAACACTGACGCGTGCCTTCATCTCCTTTTCCAGGTACAACCCACAGTGTGCCCTCTCCCAGGTACAGCCGCTGGAGCCCTGGGGCAATACCGTTTACGGCTACGCCACGTAAGTGCACTTTGCCGTGCCCACACTGTGACACAGGACCAAATGGTGGCACAGCCATATCTCCTCGCATCCCTTCATGCATAGTGGCTTTGGAGGCTTGAGAAAGCTTTGCTCATGTTTCCTCTGGCTCTTACCATCCGTCTCTTGCACATCCCGTTTAGACACTTCTTTTCTTCCTCCTGACATTGCTAGTGGCAGCCTGTGCATCAGTTACAGGTTATGCGTGAAGGTGGCATCAGCTCCTGTAATCTGTCCTTCTGTGCCTGAGCCTGATTCCCAAGGCACATGTGCCATGAGCATGTTATCTGAAGCCTCCTGAGATGAGGATGAGCATTGATTACCGCTCCAGTGCCAGTTCCAGTGGATTTTCAACTGCTGTCACCCACCTAGGCTGGCAGAAGAGGTTGTGCTCTCCTCTGCTGTCGTCCTCCACTGCTTTTTCCCATTCCGTGCGCTTCCCACCCTCCCCTGGGCCAAAACCAAGCACTTTGCACCATTGTGTGAGGAGCTAACTTGACCTTAGCCAACAGAGTCTAGATGGAGTTGGCAAGCCCTGACTCACTCACAGGGCTTCATGCCCGTTGCAGAAATGTGAGGAAGAGTCCTTACTCTTGCAGGAGCGAAGATGCAGAAGCCTATGAGTTGCAGGATGGGGAGTTCAGCTCTGGGATCTTCATGAAATATCTGAAGAAACATATTCTACAGGAGAAGAAGGTTACACACATGCTGGAGGATGTGTTAGAAGGTAAAGGAGCACTTTTAACCCAGGCTAGAAACCACTTACTTCAGTAGCAGGAGTGAGAAGAGATACCAGCAGAAACCAAATGGGTCCGTGCCACTCCAGCCCAGCCATTCCAGCAAAGGTGCGAGTGAGGATCAGCACCTCTGATCTCCCTCCCTAAAAGCCAGATTGCAGGCCGTGACCCGTATGAGTTTTTAATAAGCTGGCAGTGATATAGAGATGTTCATGTAGGGTCTGGAAGGCAGGATGATAAATAAGGCACCCGGAGTAGACCTTGTGCCTCCAAACTCTCTCCTCCAGACATCGGCCGGGATCCGTTGGTCACTGGGAAGCAGGTGATGGAGATCAAGCACACGCTGAAGGAAGCCCGGTCCCTGACGGACCCGATCTGCCCCTCAGGAGCAGCTGCTGAGCACTGGGGACATGGCCACGGTGATCCATGCAAGGCGCGGGGAGGGCTACGAGGTGGCAGGGAGGAGAGGGCTGGGGGTCCCTGCACCCCTCAAGGACACTGGTCTGCAGGGAGATGTTGGTGGGACGCCGTGAGGAGCCAAGGGCCACCAGGTGCTGACCCCGCTGGGCTTTCCCTTCCAGAGCCGCTGAGCAAAACAGTGACCTTTCCCTGCGGGGTGCAGGTGGAGCTCTGCTTCCACCGGCTCTTCTCCAACGTGATGCGCGTGTGTGCCAAGCTGCGGCCCCCTCCAGCCCACATCGCGGACGCTCGTCTCCTGCTCTGCCAGCCCCCTGTGAGTCTTCCGGCAGAGATGCTGGCCCCTGTCCCCATGATTCCCACCGGGCTCCTTCCCCTGGGGCAGAGTTGAGAGGGGGGATATGGTGAACCTGAGGGGTCCTGAGGGCTGTTAGAGGCTGAACCCACGTGGAAAAGGATCCCCTTCTCTGCTACCTCTGACACAATTAATCGTCTTTGCAAACACCTCTTTGAGTGTTCCTTCTGCGTATCAGTGCCCGGCAGACTGCCTGCCTTGCTCCTAATGCATTGCAAAATAGATTTTGTGTCAGTTTTGATGCCTTTAACCAGTTACTCCTTGGCCTGATTTCTGGCCTGCTTGATTAAATTATTGCGTTTAATCTGACTGAGATGAAGAGCCTTTCTGTTTTCTGTGTTTGGAAGCAGATTTGGCTTTTTGAATGATGTCTTCATAGCCTGCTGTGCTAATATATCTTGATGCAACAATATATTCTCCTGTACTTGTTCTGGGCTGAGCTATACCAACCTCCTTGCACCCTTTCTCAGACCTTTCCTAACAGACCATGTGCTCAGCTGTGGTCTTTTCTGGTGGTCTCCACGCCACTTCTAAGGATTGAACTTGCTGCTCCTTTTTGCTAACCACCTTCTTCATTTTCTGTAGTCCTTTTGCTGAGTCGTAGCATGACTGGTGGATTTTTTAGCCCTTGTTGCTCGTGGAGGGATGCTGCCCCTAAGTACGTTGTGGTCACTGATGCAGAGTAGTGCATCCAGCCAGAGGTTTGGAGCCTGAACCTGCCAATTACCAAGCCGGAGCATCGTTTCCCCTCGTGAGCACCCTAACCACGCATGAAAATCGTGCGTGTGTGTGTCTGTCTGCAAGTGTTTGTGTGCATCCACCCCACATCAGCAATGATGGGGACAGGGGGACCCAGCTGCTTACTCCTGCACCCGGAGCTGTCTCAGGAGGGATTGGGGAGACTGAAAAGGGACCCCAGTAGAGCCAGGGCGGTAGGATCCCCGTTCCTGCCCTGCTCCACAGCAGTGCTAGCTCACACTGACCTCCTGTGGTGTCTGCTGACATGGCAGCACATCCTTACATCAGACTGCAATTCATCTGCCCACCTTAGACATCCACAGCGAGGCCACCCACTCTTGCCCGTGGGACCACAGAGAGATGCACGGGTGTCTGCAGGAGGGCATCTGGCTCCTTTCAGCATCTGGGTGAGCTGGCTGTGTCCTCACCGTGCCACCCCTCCTTGGGGATGCTGAGGGGAGCTGGGGGACCGTCTGAGCCACGCTTGCATTGCTGAGATGCAGGAGCTGGAGGCTGAAGCCCAACAAAACCAGGCTCGATGTGAGGTGCATGTTGTAAGCCCTAGGAAATGAACCCAGGGAGCCATTTGGTTGAGGAAATGGTAGTTTTCCCATCATGTGCTATAGTCCGCCTATAAAACTGACTTAAGCAGAGAGCCTGGGCTTGCTGTAGGGCTTGCCAGAGATAATTATGGTGAGAATTAATTATTTTTCTAGCATTGATTCATTTTCTGTAGTTGTCCAGTGGTAGTGTTCTCTCCCATCCTGGGTCTTGCCTGGCGTGCATTTTTGCTTGACAAGCACTGTCTTCAGAGAGAGAGGACATATGTAGAAAGGAATGATGCTGAGAGCTAAGATGTTCCCATTTTTTGCTCTGTACTGTTTAAATGCCTACTTATTTTAAACTTTGATGTTAGATCTCCTTATTTTCAAGTCACTTGATCTGGAGCTGTTTGACCTAACAGCCTCTCCAGTCACCCTTTCCCCAATTTGTTTAGAATATCTGAAACTGGGCCAGCCAACTCTGCCCTTGCCAATTCTTCGGCATCATCTTCATTAAAAGATGCATTCCACTACGGGGAAATGTTTATAAATAATCGTGAATGGGATAAAAATTAGTTTAGAATATCCTTTTCTCCGTTTCCTGACTTCTACACAGCCAGAAATTATAAAGAAGACTAATGGAAGGGAATACTTGGCTACATGCACTGTAATTGGATTGTGGAAGTCATTGGCACAGGAGGCTGTGGAGGCTGGGAATTTAGCAGAGTGCAGATACTTGTGGATAACAAATTACTGTCAGCGGTGGAGCTTTGATTCTCAGGCGTCAGAGCTTTAACTGACCTCTTGAGATTACGTTGCTCCTTGCCCAGGTGAATGTCTTGATGGTCATTCAGGCTGGAGAGCTGTATTCCTGTGGGACACAGCCCTGGAGATACGAGAGGTCCAGGAGAGCTGGTGGATTTTCAAGGATCCTGATGAACAGGGAGTCAAGCAAAGGCGGCAAGAGGCCTGCATGGACATGCTGGGGGCTCCTCACTGAGCTCACGCATGAAAAGGAGGTGTGCAAGAGGTGGAAGTGAAGGCAGGTGATGTAGGAGGACTATAGAGACGTGGTTCAAACATGTAGGCAGGGTGTTAGGAAAGTCAAAGCCCATCTGGGACTGAATCTGGTGGGAACAAGAAGGGCTTCTACAAGCATACCAGCAAAGGGAAGGCAAGAGAAAATGTGGGCCCACTGCTAAATGGGGCACGGACCCTGGTGACACAAGGCATGGAAAAGGCCGATGTACTTGATGCCTTCTTCACCTCAATCTTTACTGGTCAGACTGGCCTTCAGGACTCACAGGCCTCTCAGACCAGGGGTAAGGTCTGGAGCAAGGAAAGCTTACACCTGGTGGAGGAGGACCAAGTCAAGGAGCACTTAGACAAACTGGGTGTACACAAGTCTGTGTGACCTGACAGGGTGCACCTGTGAGAGCGGAGGGACCTGGTGATGAGACTCTGAGGCCACTCTCCATCAGCTCGCGATGGTCTTCCTGAGGCCTGGAAGAAGCCAGTGTCAGTCCTGCCTTCTGGAAGGGCAAGAGTGAAGGTCTGGGAAGCTACAGGCTGGTCAGCCTCACCTTGATCCCTGGTCAGATGACAAAGCCAATAATCCCTGAAGCCATTTCCAAACACAGCAAGGACAAGAGGATGACTGGGAGCATAGATTACAAAAGGGAAGCCATGCCTGATAACCTGATAGCCTTCTGTGTCGAAAGGACTAGCTCAGTGGATGAGGGGAGAGCAGTGGGTATTGTTTATCTGGATTTAGCAAGGCTTTTGACACTCTCCTATAACATCATCATAGACAAGCTGATCAGATAACAGACTAGATAAGCAGATGGTGAAGTGGGTTGGAAACTGACTCAACTGCCAGGCTCAAAAGGTCATGATCAATGGCATGAAATCCAGCTAGAGGCCACTAATGGGGAGCTCCAGGCATCAGTCCTGGGCCAGTACTGGTTTACATCTTCATTAGTGATCTGGATGATGGGGCAGAACATACCCTCAGCAAGTTTGCTGCTCACACAAAACTGGGAGGAGCAGCTAACGCACCAGAGGGTTGTGCTGACATACAGAGGGACGTGGACAGGCTGGAGAAATGGGCCAACAAGAATCTTACAAAGTTTAACAAAGGGAAGTGCAAAGTCCTGCATCTGAGAAGGAATAACCACGTGTGCAGCTGGGGGTCATCAGGCTGGAAATCAACTTGGCAGAAAAGGCTCTGGGGTACTGGTAGACACCAGGCTGCCCATGAGCCAGCAATGTGCCTGCATGGTAGAGAAGGTGAATGGGATCCTGGGCTGCCAGGTTCTTCTCAGTGGTGCCCAGTGCCAGGACCAGAGGCCATGGGCACAAACTGAAACACAGGAAGCTCCGTTTAAAATGAAGAGAAAACTTTCCTACTCTGAGGAAAATAATTGAATACGTTGTTTCTTTTGGAAAAACAGGGCTGTGGCATTGTTTTCTATTTTGACTAATGACCTCAGGGGTATGTCATAGCATGCACTTGTTAAATGCACAGATGCCATAACACTGGGCATTTCTGCAAGGTGCTAAAAGGCAGGGTTAGATTTTAGAAAGGTTTGGTAAACTGGAGGTGCAGTCTGGGCCGAGGCTGTTATTCAGCAGATGCAAGTTCCTGCGTGTGGGCAGGAACAAGCAGTAGCATAAGCACAGGATGGCAAACGACAGAGGTACCAGTTCTGGTCAAGGTCCATAACAGCTGGTGCAACAAAAGCAGGGCAGAAAACTGCCAAGGTTGTAAACTTGAGCTCCAAGATTTGTGTGAGATCCTCTCTGGCTCTCCTCACTGTTGCTGAGCTCTGGGTCCAATTTTGGGTCCATGCTTCATGGAAAAAAGTGTGCTGACTAAAATGCATCCAAAGTAATAAAAGGAAGGAGCAAGATAGTTGTGGTTTAGGCAAGAAGAGCAAAAATTGCTGGATAGGGGGCCTTCATATGTAAAAAGTTATTTCCCATGTGGAGGGAAGTCATGGTTTGAACTGCAGTGAGGAAGATCCAGAGTGGACATGTCATTTTCATGGCAAAAAGAGTGAATGTCTGGGAGGGTTTTTGCCTAAGGGTATTGCAAAATCAGCACCCATGTGGATCCCTTAGAGTGTCTGGACATGCATCTGTCAGGTATGATGTGTCACCAAATCTGTGCTGTTTGGGCTACATGCTGCCTTTGGTCCCTTCTGGTCCATATCCCAGTGATGAGGGTCCTAGCCCCAGGAACAGGACACAGGCTCAACCTCACATGCAGAAGCAGATTGGCAGCACATGGCTGGCTGTTGAATCCAAAATCATTTAATAATGCAGCCATTTAATCAGTTAATCTCTCAGGCTGCTGGGAGATACTCTCTGTGAACGCTGAAGGGACTTTGGGACTTTGGGCATTTCCCCACAGTATTGAGCGTTTACTCCGTTGCTTCAGGATGGTCCCAGGTCTGTGCCAGAGAAGAACGGCACATCTGTTTTTGGATGTTCGAAGCTTGGAACTGGCTTCATCCCATGCAGGGAGGCTGTGTGGTTCACCCCATCCAAACTTCCTGATGCTGCTTGGCTTTTTGAGAGCTGTAATTTATTTTGAGATGGAATATTGTTATATTTGTGATAGTCAGTCTAGTACACCGGGTATTTCTTAGGCTGAAAAAAAAATGGCCCAACCTCAAGGGGCTCAAAATTACAGAGCAATAAACAGGCATTTGGGAGAAAAGTCCAGTGGATTAGCACAGGTCTGAAGAACCCTGCTCTGCTAACGTAAACCCAGCTGCGATGTTAGTTGCTGAAGATTCACAGTGTCTGCAAAGGCTGCTAACGCAATTGCAAAAGCAGGCACTTAGAGGTTATCTGATCCAGAGCACATCCGTGCCTGCAAGGAGACAAAAGGGAATGTGGCCCAACCCCAGCTCCAAGAGGCTGATGGATCCACAGAGGAGCCACTCTCAGAGAGGTCGCAGGAGTGGGGATACACCAGAGGAAGGGGGGACTGCTGAAGTCAGAAGATGTGTGGAAACAGTGATGAGGTTGGGGAGAGCACAATGGCATCATCGAATATGGGGAAGAGAGGGAACTAATGGTGGGGTAACTGTGAGGAGGGCTTCTGGCCATGGTCTGTTTTCCTCCTAGTGATTAGGATGTCATGGGTATTACTAGTCCAGCAGGGTTCAAAAATAACTTGGACACCTTCACCAGAGTCCATAAGGGCTATTGAAAGCACAGACATAACCTTTGACTTGGAAAGTCACTGATTTTCACATCACAGGAGGCTGGCAGGGTAGGCTCACGCTGGGCAAGGCTGGCGGCATGCGTGTCCTGTTCTTCCTTAAAAGTGTGCTAGAGGATGGAGCTGGCTGGATGCAGTGGGGCCACTCCGCTCCTTTTTGCAGTCCTGCTGCTGAAGCCCTGTGTTAGTGGCATCCAGGCTGATCTGCTTTGTATCTCTGTCTTTGGTCTCCAGGTTTAGTTTAACCTGGCTGCTGGGCTCGGCATAGCAGTGATAGCACAGGGTAGGTGGGAGCAGGGACCTGATGCAGTGAGCCAGGGAAGGGCAGACCAGGAGAGGGCCGTGTTCCTCTGCAGAAAGTGCTCTGTGTTGCAGCCCGTCTCCTGTTTCAAGCACAGTTCAGGCTGGTGGAGGGGACCAGGACAAAACTCCCTGAGCAGGAGAGCGGCTCCGTCCCCCTGTGAGCTGTGTCCTCCCTTTGTTGGCACACCCATCTCCCTTTCTGCCGGTTCCATTCACTGCCCTGATCTTCCCCAAACTCCCTCCAGTTTATCCTTCCAGTAACAAGTTGCCAAGTGTGGAGATGGGATTTGGCTTTGCTTTGTACAGAGATAAATGGTATTTCTTCAGCCTGCCTCCAGTGGACCTACTGGATGAGCAGCGGTGTTTAGTCCTGTTCTGCTAGCATTGCAAGCAGGGGTGACCCTGATGCCTGCAGATGCCAGCCAGCATTTGGGATCCAACATTTTAGCTTCTACCCACAATGTTCTCCTGGCCATAAACAAATTGCTTTGGCCAGTTGCAGGCTGCAGTTTGGGGAAGGTCTGTAAAGGCTAGGAAGAGCTCTCAGGGCTTCTCTAACCTCTGCCTCCCTGCAATGTCCTCCATCAGCATGCCCAGTGCAACTTCTCCTGCCAACGGTGATAAAGTTTTGCAAGGGTCAGACCCTCCTCATGTGTCACCAGCTTTACGTGTGCCTGCAGTGAGCCCACCCAGGCTGCTCTGCTCCCATGGCCAAAGTCAAGCTGGCACATCCTGGCCGTGGCCAATGCACGTCAGCAGGATTGGGCCATGGTAGGTGCTGCAGCCAGCTGGCAGAGGGAAGCACCTTCCAGTGGAAGAGGCTGCTGGATTTGGGCTGTCACGCATCCTAGAGGGCTCAAATCCAAAGCAAGATGCTATTTCATAAGGCCCTTATTTCCTTGTCCCTTCTTGTGCTATTAGTGACTCCAAGATACAATTGTTACTGAAGAGGCTCTCATAGAGATGGGACTGTTTTGGATAAGTTTGAATAGTTCATCAAGAATTGACAGTTTTGTAGATGACAGGAGGCTCACTTGACACCTGGCGCAACTCTGAGCTTCCTCCAGCTACGCCCTTAGAAAACTTGCTACCTCCTTGACACACCTCTTACACTACAGGTGATTGTGATACTCGCTGTTGCTGCTATCTGCTTTGCCAGAAATCCTATTATACCATAGTTTTCCTGGTAGATGACCTCAGGGGAAGTTTGGCTAGGTCTTCTCATTGATATGCACAAGGCAGGCGTGTAAAATCTCCGTATTTCTGTTGCTTGCATTCTGTAGTACTTCCATTAGGGTACGCAGCATTTCCACCGGCTGAAGTGTCAAGGGCACAGGCCAGCCCCAGGCACTGCTGTGTGCAGAGAAGCAGCAAGTCTGGTGGGCAGTTGCACGTCCATCCCCAGGCTGATGCTGAAATTTCTTTGTGTTTCCTCTTGTTTTCCTGACCCAGGAGATGGGCAATGTGGCTGTCCTGAAAGAGAGCTGCCTGGACCAAGTGGAGTCTCTGCTCACCTCTGTGTACAAGCGGGAGGAGCTAGACTGCGTCTTCCAGCTCTCCGGCCTACAGAAAATTCAGGTAGAGAGCTTCCAGATGCAGATCTCCGTGGTTCTGCTGCAGCCTCACATAACTGATACTCCCCATCCCCGCTGGCTTGAGCTGGATATGCGCATCTGACTGTGTGTCTAGTGGCTCCATGCGGGTTGATGCCTGGTGTGCCTGTGTCAGTGTAACATCCAGATCGACGTTACAGGAGCTAGTTGATCTCCAAGGCACAAAAGCCAGCATCGTTCTCTTGGCTCGCTCTGTCCTTCCACACTGCCAGGCTGGGGAGGCTGGTCTTTGCCTGTATCAGCCTAGGGGAGATCAGACTAGCCCAAATACTTTAGATGAAGGATGTCTCACTAGGCTGTGTGCTTGCCTGAGAGATGGGCTCCCGGGCTGGCTAGGATACCGAGCAGCAGGAGGGTTTATCCACTGCCATTAGGGTGACACTACCAAGTCTGATCCAAGCTATGCCTCTTTGGCACACTTCAAAAGACCTTCAAACTATTTAAAGACCATGAGAAAGGCAGAATTGCTAGTCCCCTGGCTTGTCTCTTCCAGCAGATCATCCCTCCCCACATAGCAGTATGCACCTTGTTTCTCATTTGTCTGTTTGTTTGTTTTTCCCGTCTAACACCCAGCCAGTGGATCTTGCCAGCTGCTTATCTGCTCTGCCCCATCCAGGCTTACACCAAACGTTGCTCTCGAGCTGCTGCCTGGATTTGCCTACAACGAGCTCCGTTTGCCAAGTGCCTGATGTGCCTCGGCATATGGCAGCGCTTTGAGTCCTTGTTTGATCCTGGAGCTCTTTTTTGAACCCTTCCCAAGAATTTGGCATTGCTTTTACGTGCAGACGTGAGATCTGGACCCTGTGTTGCCTGCCAAAATCCTGCTCCATTATACACCTCCCTGCTTCATACAGCCAGGCGTCCCGGGCACAGCCCTGTGCTAGGGGTTCACGTTCAGGGATTTAGCTGCCATGAATATGGTTATTTTCTGATTTCTTCACCATCTTTTATAAAATCCTAAAATAGTGCTAGACTGTGAATGAATCCATGTGGAGTGCTGCTGCTCAAAACTGTTGGCTTTTACTGTGTGACGTGTGTTTTGTTTAAGTGGTTCATATCCCCCCCCTTGAACTTTCCTCTCCTGTGTGCAGCAGTCCTGTGCCATGGCCAGGACGGATGTTGTGCCGTTCCTTGCTTGGGTGCAGTATGCCCTCCTGCTCCCTTGTGCCAGCCTCCTGGGCATGTTGCTCTTGGTGACAGTGCCCTGACTGGGCTGATGAGGTCTCAACTGAGGTGGCCTGATGTCAGGAGAAGTCCTGAAATCCAGAAACCATGGCTCAGGCCCACAGACATCATGAGCGTATGTAACAGCTCATTTTCTCTGGCAGTAGCACTGCTCCATCACGCCACAGCATGGGGCTGTAAGTCTGTGGAGCAGCCAGCCAAGTCTGTCATTTTTGTTGACAGCGGCAACAGCCAAAAAGCTCTGCTTCAAGTCTTAGTCTCTGATTCACTTTTTATCCTTTGCTCTCCCCTTCCAGACAGACGTGATCCTGCAGCTGGATTTGCATTACACCCAGCTGATCACAAAGCAGAGGACTTGTGAAAGCCTGAAAACAACTCTTCAGAAATCTCTGCTAGGGCAGTTTTTCAGCCAGAGGAATTATTCCCAGCCAAAGTACCAGAGAACTCCTGCCTGTGCCGGCAGTGTGTGCCTCCGGGATGCATCAGCGCTGAACATGGACCCAAAGGGGCAAGCATCTCTGAGGACAGGTTCTGGCCACAGCTTGCCCAGCAGCAACACCTCCAACTTCAGCAGCGAGCCGGAGGAGAATGACGAGAGTGACCTGAGCGAGCTCTGCTTGGCACTGCTCCAGGCGGGCCCAGGGCAGGACTACCCCTGACCCTCGCAGGCTGGCGTGCCCAGCCTTGGGAACTGCTATTTGTAACAGAGGTGACAGTTCTTTGAATACTAAATACATCAGGATACGTCAGCTGCTTTCCAGCCTCAGCGATCACCCTGTCCAAATGAGGCCACGGCTGCTTTTTCAGAAAGGTTTCTCCCATCTGCAGCGTGTGGGCCCTGACGTCCGCTGGAAATACCCCCTGTCCCACAGTCAGGATCAGCAAGGGGCTGTGGTGTCTGGCGGAGGACGGGGCCACCCGACAAGTCATAACATTTCCAGGCAAAACTCAACATTGCTTAAAGGGCACCGGCTGATATTTTCTGCAACTGGGCTTTGCCTGAAAGCAATATTACAGCATTAAAGGTGTTAAGAAACCCATAAACACTACGGACCCCTGCTGCAGCAGCGGCGTGGCCTCAAAACCAAACTACAACTGCTGACTCTCATTGCACTTGTGCAAGGGACACAAGGCTTGAACAAGGGACCCCGACGAACTTGTGTGAATGTATAAGCTCTTCCCTGGGGTCGCAATGTGGTTTTCTTTCCTGCCTGCGTCAAGGCAGGTTTTAAGTTATGCATTTATGTATTTCTAAAGAATGTATTTATACTTGAGGCAAGACAATTGCTTGCCACGAAAAGGAAGGTCAGATGTTCTGTCAAGTGTGTGTTTACAATGAAGGGTGGTTTTCTGTCAGTAGTAGCCACCGGGCAGGTACGCTTCCACGGGCCCCTTCTAGCGTGGTACACAGGGGCATTAAAGTGTGTGAAGTCCTGTGCAGTCCTGAGTTCCTCTGAGATGCAGAATTTCCTGCATATGGGAGATGGAAAAGACCAAGATGGAGGAGGAAGAAGCTCAAAAAAGATCCATTATTAGTGCAAATTTTATTTGTAAGTGCCTGTCTCTGTGCATTCACTATGGGCAATCTCAAGCACTACCTTTTGTGGAGAACCAGCTGTCCAGAGCGAGCCACGGGTGAGCAGGGCCCAATGGGATGACCTGAGTGGGCACAGTCCCCTCCGCGCCTGCTTCTCTAAAATTTCTGTGATAAAGGTTTTGGTGTAGCTCCAGCTGATTGCTCAGCAATGGCCTGAGAGGGTGATCAAATAGTTCAACAGGGGCCAGTGACCCCAGTGAGGTGTGGGATCTCCACCCTTGGAGACAGTTCATTCTGGACTGGAGAAGGTGCTGATGAGCTGATCCAAGCTGTCAAGGTGCTGGACCAGAAACAGCTGGAGGTCCCTTCTGGCTGTTGTGGTCCTGTGAAAGAAAGAACTTGGAGATCAAAGGCTTCTTGAGGGGTCAAGGGTGGTGGGGCAGAGAGAGTGCCCGAGCTCTGTCTTCTGTCTGGGTCTAAAAGAGGGATGGAAGAGAGCATTTTCTAAGTATCAGTTTTCCATCAGCAGTGAAGATACTTGCATCTCTGTCTACAGTGTGTATTGCAGCACGGAAGAATATGAAATGCTCCTTCTCAATAAACCATGCTACAAGTGCTGGAAACCTGTCCAAAGAGAACAGAGGAGGCGTTTATTCTCCTCCCAGTGAGTAGAGCCAAGGGAAAGAAGAGAGGCCCCATCTGGCTGAAGTCTAGAAAGTCTCCTAGGAAAAAATTTAAAGCTCAAAAAATAAAACCCAGTTTACAGGCTGTAGTTTAAATAAGATGGGCTGATAGAGAAGCTAAACCAGAAAATAATAAACTAATTGAAAGGAGAACCAAAGATCAACCCCAGCGGAAACTTAAGACAGGTCAGTGGGAAGGGCTGGGCAGGCACTTGGGAGGAGCTGGGAGTCTCGTTGCCTCTATGAGGATTATACACACCCTCCTACACTGCTGGGGCAAAATATGTTTCTGGCTCACATAGTGTCATCGCGCGTGAATGTTAACCTCATTTGAAGGGAGACTGTTTATTTTTTCTGAATAAAACACTATTGGTGTTTTTGAATGCATAAAGCTTCATGTGGCTCGGAGTTAACTGCCTTTATTTTTCCCTCTGATTGCCAGGGTGTGACTTAATATTGACCTACTGTTTTTTATGCTTCGAACTCTAGTTTCTAGGCTCTTATGTGTGAGGACCGTTTCTTTTAGATAACTGCATATTGAAGTTTGGATTTAGAAGGTGGATCAAATGACACTAGATAGGATGAAATAATGTCAGGTGGGATGTGTAGATGAGATGTCAGAGTTCATTGTGAGTTACCCATCGGTTTTGTAAAGTGTAGCCCTCAGGTGGCCGGGTCAGGCTTAGGAGGCCTGCTCTCCTGGTGCCAGCCACAGGACATGTCCCTGTCACCTACTCCTTCCACGCGACCCTGCAGCCAAGGCCAGGGCTACCACCACATTTCCATGCACCTCAGCCAACAGTGTGTTACAACTGAGAAGCAAAGCACTTGAAAAGGTGGAGTTTGATTGCATCCTGGGCCTCTGGCCACGACAGCATGCAGTCCTGCCACCAAGTGGATTCATTGTGGGAGGCGGTGAAGCTGTGGCTGCCTTCATTCCCCTACCTTACACATGATCCCAACTCCCTTTCCCTTGAATCTGTGTTTCCATCTTCCATCATGGAGGATGGACAACTCATTCTCTTGACCACATCCTTCCCGATCTGCAGCCGTAATCCTTGGGCTCCCATAAGCTCCCTGTGGCCAGCTTGAAGGGTAGGAAGGAAGGAGCACCCATCCCTGTGCAGTGCACCAGCATTTCATACTCTGCTCACGGCGTGCTCATGGCTGAGTAGTCCCAAGAGCCCGTGCCCACTCTCTTCGTTATCGCTCCTTCCATCCATTACCTCCTGAACAACGCTGCTTTTCCTCCACCTCTGTGTGACCTGACCTAACCTCTTGCTGCTCTATCTCTCTGCCTGGCCCTCTGGCATGGTTCCCACCCTGCAGCAAGCAGCCACTCTTTTTACCATTTCCCTTTCTCACCTGACATCTATCCCACCCATCTTGCTATCTCATTTCAGGTTGTCCCTCCATCCCCATCGATTTTTAGTAGATTTCCATGCCTTTTCGTACATTTTCTGAAGTAGCAGAGAATACCTCCAAATTTAAAACCCTGGAAATCTGATGCTATCCCATTGCATTTCTTTGCAGGGTCATAGCCTGGGCAGATCCTGTGGCTGGGCAGTGCAGGGGGGCTGCTATCCCATTGCATTTCTTTGCAGGGTCATAGCCTGGGCAGATCCTGTGGCTGGGCAGTACAGGTGGGCTCCCCTGTGTCTAGTCTTCATACTACCTTTAGTAAGAAAGCCAGTCTGTCACTTAGTTTGATTCTCCCAGAAGGACTACAGGACCTATTTAAGGCTAGGACTCCTTCATTAGATGACAAACTGCAGGCAAAGTTTGACCAAGAAACCAGCTCCAATTTACATTCCCTCTCTGCCTCCGTACCTTCACTTATGCATTCGTAACCACAGCCATTGTCCTCTGCTTCCCGCTGTTTCTGGGCCACTCTGTGCTCAGAGGATAAA